CGCTCATTGACGGCAAGATGTTCAAACGCGAAATGGTCAGTTCCGACCAGACCACCCGAATATCGGTTGCAATTGGCTGCTTTTCCTGTATTTTAGCCAATGACAGACCATTGATGGACGTGTGCACGCGGATTGGTCCAAGTCGCTTCGATTTTAAACAGCAGCCAATCAAACGCAACGGAGAAAGACCCAGCACGAATCTTCGATCTTGCCGGATGGAACACGACCGCCAACGTCCCCACTGCTGTGGCACTCGCGGAGTCGACGCGTCATCACCGCTTGCATCGAACTCGTGCGAGCATCAATGCTGGAAAAGAGACTAGATATCCCCGTGTACTATAGTACAAAGTTGTAATAGCTTTAATTCACCAACTTCAATTCACCAACATCAATGCAACAACTTGAGTTCACGGACTTTCGTTCGCTAACGTGAGTGCACCAACTTGAGTTTACCAACTATAGATTACCCGCTTCAATCCACCAACTTTCATTCACAAACTTTCATTCACCAACGTGAGTTCATTGACTCTACTCTACTACTACATAACGGTAGTAGTAGGTCACCACGAGAGCACATCGGTGGTACTACGTAAGCTTCGTACAAAAGTGTAGTCTCGAGTCCCGTCGACAACGGTTGTTTACGTCCCGCCTACATGGCTGCTGCCACCCCGCCGCGTCCATCTGTCCATGTGCCGGCAGTAAAGATCAAATTCGCTGGAGCTGCGAATGAATGCATCCCTCTCGGACTTGGCTACGGAGCTACGGCCTTTTGCATGCGCAGTTTGAGGGCACGGATATCCGTTCAAATGTATCACAAGTTGGCCGCGGCAACGTGAGCGACCTCAACCTACCAAATACAATTCCCGCTCAATGCCCCCTACCCTCCATGGGGCTAGATACCTCTTCTCTTGCATGCTCCTGCATTTCAACCTAAAGGGCTCGGCGAGATATTGTTCTCTGCATCGAAATCTTTTGATTGCAATGTCGCGATGCCATTGGTTCGAATAGAAATCATTTTGGCCAATCATATGCGTACACTGGGAAGCGGTCATGGGATTGTGGCGCTACACTTGGGGTTTGTATCGCCGGGCCCGGAAATAGCTGCTGTCAGTTTTGGAAGATGGCGACGCGGGACTTGACGCGGACGTACGTGGCGCTGCGCAAGGACGTCAAGGCCAAGGTGGCCCGGCGCCGGCAGATGGTCTCGCCGGACGTCCACATGGAGGGCAACTCGCTCATCCGCAACGACATGCGCTCGGACCTCGACGTGGAGATGGCCAAGACGGCGGGCCCGACGCCGGCGTGGGTCGACGCCGTCACGGACGTCAACATTCACATCGCACGCGTCAAGCTGCTCAGTACGCCTCACTATGCATCATCCTGTCTCTGGGCTCATGCATGCGCGTAGTGGAGAAGCTCGGCAAGATGCACACAAAGCGGCTCATGGTGCGCTTTGACGGCTCCGAGTCGGACCACGAGCGCGAGATTGAGAGCATTACGGGCGAAATCACGGGCGAGTTCCGCAACGCCGAGCGCATCCTCAAGGCCAAGATGAACGGCAAGGACGGCGTGTCCGAGGCCGACGCCAAGGCCCGACAAAACGTCCAGCGGTACCGATCGCCAAGCTCCAGCGCGGGATGTAACGTGGTGTTTAGTGCCCTGGCGACGCAGCTGCAATCCCTCTCGGCCGACTTTCGAAAGAGCCAAAAAGAGTACTTGGACCGCGTCAAGAACCAACGCCAGGGCCCGGCCGAATTCGAGTTTCTCTCCGAGACGAAGAAGACCAAGACATCCGGCCTCGACGTATTACCTACGCGCCATGAGCGCCAACATCTCATGGTATCCTGGCGTAGGGTGGGTTCATGCAGGCGCAGATGGCCGAGGTCGAGCTCGCCGAGGACTTGATCAATGAACGCGACCGCGAAGTGCAGCAGATTGCAACGTCGATCCAGGAGCTTGCCACCATCTTCAAAGAGCTCGCCGTCCTCGTGATTGACCAGGGCACGATCCTCGATCGCATCGACTACAACATGGAGCAAGTCGTTGAGCGCACACAGGCTGGCATCGTCGAGCTTGAGAAGGCCGAGACGATCCAGAAGAGCGCACGACCAATGAAGTGCATAGGCATCCTCCTCGCGCTCATCACGGCCATGACGATCATCCTGATGCTAAAACACATGTAATACTTGCATGCGCACAGGGTTATAAACACTTTTCTGGGCCTGTATCCATTCCCACGCGCCAAAGCATGCGTCATCGGCGCTACATGTACCATATCGCCTCAGGCCGCGCCGATCATGAGGGACAAGTAACTTCGTTCCAGAGCCGGGAGCCAGGGTTCGCCACATCTACCGTATTGGTCGAGCATGGAGGCTCGATGGGCAAGGAGACGAACACTTGTGGTGCGGGGAGCTATTTCGTTCAAGCCATTATGTCGCTCGACGGCCACGTCAAGATAGGATGCAGTGATAGCATCCTGTTCTATGATATGCATCAACTAGCAGCATCAAGGGCCATTAAACACTTGTTGATGTAGCAGGTTGATGCTTCATCGTCCAGCCCTGAAACGTTGGTTGGGTTTCGGGCCTTGTCTGCGATGCATGACCGCAGTGTTGATGGTGTGTGGTTGGATAATGATATCGGATAGCGGATACTTGTGCAAGGCAGGATAGGTGCGAGGATCGTGCTCCAGTATTGGATAGGCAGGTTGGTGCGGTCGCTGGGTCGAAATGGCTCGGTTGTCGAGATGCGATGACGTTTGGATCGCGTTTCTGGAATGGGCGGCTGAAAAATAGCGAGCGCTTTTTAACGCGCGGGTTCCTTGGGCACGGCTTGCACACGTTGTCGACCTCCAATGACGACGCAAACTGGCGCGCTCTGCTCTCCAAAGGGTCCTTTATCATCTTGCGATGTTTATGCGTGTGCGCTAAAAAACTTGATGTGGCCCTCCAAGACCCTTGAAGCGAGCGCGGCCTGCGAATTATCGCCTCTGATTGGCTAAAATAGATACTTGAACGGACCAATCCGATCGCCGGAATATCACAACCTTGAGGGAAGGCAAGTCTTTGTCTCTATCGCTCTACGATGCAAGCCCCCCAGCAGTGCCCGTACTAGCGCACCGCGCCGGGTTTGATCGAGTCTGATAGCTCCGACATTTTCTTTTTCTTTTCGTTTTGTTCACTGCCCATAGCCTCTTGCTCTCGACGCGACGGATCAGTGTGACGTGCATACAGTGTGCGTCAACACGATGGAACACCCCCAGCAGCAAACTCGCCAGCAAGAACGTACCCGCACCTTGAACCGACACACACATGTATATAGACAGCGGCATTAGAGGTGCACGCCCATCCAGACGACGTTGGCGTTGGGGCGCGGTGCAAAGCCAAACTTGGCCATCATCTTGGCACTCGGCGTGTTGCCGACCTTGATCGCCGAGAACGGGCGCAGACGCAGCGTCGCGTGCATCGGACTCTCCTTCAAGAAGGTGCGGACCGCCGACAGCGTCGCGTGAACTGCTTCGTGGGCGAGCCCGCGGCGCAGAAACGTCGGGTCCGTCGAGACAAGTCCAAGGGAGAAGTCGCCGTGGATCACGCAGGACGAGACCACGTCGCCGGTCGCTTGGAGACGCACGACGCGCGCAAATTTCGAGTAGAACGGATGCGACGCGAGAAACTCAATGTACGCCGCATCGTACTCGACTGTCGCGAGTGCAATGATGCGCGCCGCGTCACTCGCCTTGAGCGTGTCCATGACAAACACGTCGTCGCCGTCGGCCCATGCCTGCCCGAGCGCGTGGCTTGGCGTCGTCGGCATACCAGCCATACTGAGCTGGTCGTGAACCTCGTACGTGTCGCCAACCCACGCGACTTCGTGCGCGATCGCCGACGCGGCGGGCACGAGTCGCTCGGGAAAGGCGCTGAGTGTAAAGTACGGGTGCGCTGCATTCGCCGTCGCCGCCACCGCGCCAAGAAGACGTTGGAGGGCGGCGGCGTGGTCGTTGTCACTGCGCAATTCGGTGCGTGGCAGCCAGAAGCGCGTCAGGATGGAGTCACGCACGGTACAATGAATGACGTACGCCAGACCGGTGACCGAACGCAGGCGGGCTGCGTCGGCGGTCGAGGCCACGCGCACCACGTCATGGTCGTCGAGGGCGAAGAGGTGGAGCTCCGTGTCGTCGGCGCCGAGGATCGCGCCGAGCGGCCCGATGAACTCGGGCGGCAGCGGCTCGGACGCGAGCGCGCAGAAGGTTGGCACGACCTCGGTTCGCATGGCCGGAAAGATTAGAAATTGCTTGCATGTCACTCTTTCCCATTCTATCCGGACGTCCGGATACGGTTGGGAACAGAGGCGAACTCAGCGCGGAGGAGGATCGGCGGGGAACACTTTATACGCGCGCTTGATTTGCCGATTAGGTGCGATCTTGAAGAAAGATTTTCCAGTGCACTTGCCCACGATGCCATGACCGCTGCTGCCATTGAGCTGCCGTTCACAGTGTCTGAATTGAAGCGTGAGGTGACAGAGTGGCGATGATGCGGCGGAGTCGTCGTCGAGGCGTGGTGTGGATGGCGTTCATCAGTAGGGAGAAACACAACGACTCGGTAAGTAACGGAGTCCACGAGCATTGTCCGCTGAGTAAATTCGACGCAACGGCGGCCGGGTGCATCATTAGCCCCAGTTCCAAGTGGTACCCGATTGTTGGGGTCACCGCGGCTCGGCTCCAACGGCTAAGCCGCGGCTTGAGCCGAAAAGTGACCGGCTCAGGCTCCATTTTTCGAGCCGGCTCCGAGCCGAGGTCAAGCCGAGCCGGTACAAGCCGGATGAGCCGATTGAGCCGCGGCTCCAATAGGCGTCGGACACATGTAGCATCTCCATGGTCAATGGCGTTTTTGACAAATTGTGCCCAATTTGGGGGTCCGTTTAACCAGTAATTTTTACTGCCATAACATCCAATAGGGTCGATTCAGAGTAACTCTGGGCCAGCGGCTTTTGAAATCACCAGATGCTGTGCAGAGTAACTTACAGCGACTCTCGGACATTGAGATGCGGCTCTCGGCTGCTGGCCAACAGATGGTCTAAACCATTGCTGATTGGCCAGTTTGAACTTCCCTCCAGGTCAGCGACTCCGGGATCACGCTAGCTCTGATGCATGTCATTGGTAGAAACTCATTTTTAGGTCGCATTGATTGGCAGTTTAAAATTATTGTTTTGATTAGCTGAAAATCTAGCCGCCACAAGGGGCCAATAGTGGAGTTTAATACAGTTTTTACAGTGAAGCAGGCACTTGAATGAAACACATAATATGCTCTCTATATCGCCAGATGATGTTTAAATCAGTCATAAAACGTAGTGTTTATACTTGGTGGTAGGGCGCGCTTGAAGGACGATGAGCATGCGTGCGGCAACGGCGACGAGGTGGCGACGACACGCCTTCCCAAAGAGCGCTTTACCTCAGGCAGGGTGGTGGACGCATCCGCATAGATAGGTCCGCCCTCCAACTACGATAGCAACTACGGATATCGCTATTCTCTTGACGCGCGTCATGCTCAGCACACCGTCAACGAGACGACGGCCATACTAGTACGTAGCCGTACAAGCCCTGATGCTAGATCCGGGCCCACAGATGCACGTCAGAGATGCGCTTGCCCAGCTCGTGGCGCTACGCTTGCAGAGTGCAGTGCACCTACCTGGTATGACGGCAGCGACAGCGAGCACGACGGCGGCTCAGTCTGACCGCGGCATGATGAGGCGTCGTGGAGCAAGTGATGCTCACCAATGAATGCTCGTCGACAAGCTAGCCAATCAAATCCATGCATTAATTTTACTCTGACTTGCAACGTTTGAGCTGCAGCGACTCCGAGGACCCCGAAACGCGCTGAAATGCGCCAAAACGCCCCAAAACACCTCGCCGAGGTGTTTTCAAAACGAAAAATTGGAACGGCTTCTGATTGGCCCAGATTTTCATTTTTTTCAAAAAGCCGCTGCCGAGAGTTACTCTGAATCGACCCATAGGGTAACATTTTCTGCCCATTTTGCAGAATGTGCCCAATCCAAAAATGTTGCTGACAAGAAGTGCCCAAACGGTCAAAGGCGCACCTTTCTTGAGCACTTTCCAACTAAGCCAACCAAAATGACAAACAAGCGTCAACGATCGCCTCGGTCCAAAGATCCTTGTTCGGCTCCAGGGGCGGTGAGCTCCGTGAGGTCTGTGCAGGTTTAAAGGCGCTCGTCGAAAGATGGGACGGTGACGAGATTGACGTCGAGCACGCGGGGCAGCGTCGTCATCGGGCGGTCGGGCCACGGTGCAGCCGTGAGCGCCCAGTACTCACCCATCACGAGACTGGCCAGGAAATCGGCCGACTGGCGAAGGATGTGACCAAATATGCCCCACTGAGCTGAAGCCGGAAGCGAAGCGGCGTGGCTTGTACAAAGCGTCGTTCGATATGTGATACGGGTAGTGAACATCGATGAGTTGACGCAGTTGTTGCCGGTGGAAGCTGTGAAGCTTTCGAGTCGTCAGCAGCCGTGAGCGCCACAGTTGTCATAAGCGCTTCGAAATGGGACAAAGGTTGCTTGCATGTCTGCATTACGAAGCTTTGACACGTACCTGTAGTTTAGAGGCAAACGCAGTCGAAACCCTGAAATCTGTGGCCGAGCTATCGGTTTGCATGAACTGATTCAACTGGCCGAGCCAGTAATCCACCAATCAGCGCATTTGAAGAATGCACCAATCATGGACTGCATATCATGATGTATAGCATCCCTTTTCAACCAATGGCCTCACGCACAGCACTTGACCAATCCAGAGCGAGAGAGTGATAAAAGCCCCACAGAATGAACCGCGAGGTGTCACACAAGTGGACAGGCTGTCTGTCACACATCCACCTTTCACTTGCTGCATTCCTGCATTCATTGCAGTTTGCAATACGTCTCGCCTCGACATCATGTACCTCGTCACGTGGCCGATCCGCGCGTACCTTGCGTGGAGTGTCCTTGCGCTTCTGTACTTTGTCGCGGTGCCGATCGTCCTCCTCTCGAGCTTTCTGCGGCCGCTCGTACCGCTTGCTGATGCTGCAATCGCCGGTGGCTGCGTCGGTCTCTGTCTCGTCGTCGCCAGCCTCGTGCACGTGCGCCGCACCAACAAATTGGCGTCCACGACCCCGCTGCTGCTTGTGCTTTTTGGTGCTGTCGGCCTCTGCGCGCTCATGGGTCTCCCTGCTCTCTTGACGACGAGCTCTGTCTACTGGCCGGATGCCTCTAGCGTCAAGTACTACACCGAAAGCGTGGCCGCGATGGAGGCAAACTTTACTGCATGGGATACTGGCTATTTCTATTACGATTCTGGGTACTTGACCCCAACGTACTCGGACTGCTCTTATGGCGACGCTGAAGACAACGCTCGGTATGCTTTGGAAGAGACCTACTGTGCGCGCGAGGGCAAGGCGTACTGCACGTCGTTTCCTCTGCGGCAGACACTCGTCCAACCGCGTATCTTTGACAACAAGACAGACACGTTTCGGATCAAGGCGCTGCTCGACGCACCGACCTTCTTTGGCGTCCCCATCGACGACGCGACGACCCTGTTGCAATTTTGCGACAAGGTCAACGCCAGTGTGCTCGCCGCCGAGCCATCCATCGATGTCGCGTGCGATGGCTGCCGTCATGCCGTGGCAGCACCGGACGACACGTCTGCCTTTGGCGACTGGGTCCACGAGCATTGTCCGCTGACCAAGGTTGACGCGACGGCCGCCATGTGCATCATGAGCCCTAGCCCCAAGCTGTATCCGTATCTCCTGACGTATCCGGAAGCCAAGGCGTGCCGTCGCTACTTTCTGAACCAAATGAGAAAGCCAAGTCGTCTGCGGCTGTGCTACGAAGCGCAATTTGGTGGTGTGTTCAAGCGGTTGCTGGAGGCGCTCGCATACTCGGCGCTGACCCTTGCTGTGATGGCCTTTTTAATCTTTTGGACGCTTGTGAATACCCAGTGCAAGCGCGACACGATGGACGAAGAAGATCGGCTGATGTATGAAGCCATGATCGCGCGACCATCAACACAGGGACCCTAATCTCATTAACTTCAGAAACTGTACCCCTGTGGTCGTCCGCCACAAAGCAAAAATTGCACTACCAAAGCGCTACCAGGTACCGAGGGAGTGATACATTAGATATGACTTGCATTTCTGCATCACAAAGCTATGACCTGTACATGTGGTGTAAAAGCACACGCAGTTGAGATAGCCCAACGTCTGCGGTCGAGCTGTCGGTTCGCACACGTAGTTTGACGGCTTCAACTGTTGGTGCCAGAATGCCACCAATCAGCGCATTTAAAGAATGCACGAATCATGGGCTATAAAGGATCCTTTTTTAACCAATGGTCTCGCGCACAGTATTTCAGCCAATCGCGAGCGAGATTTTGTACCACTCGTTTGGAGCCACGACACGATGGAGCGGCGATCGAGCTTGCTGGGCGTCCCGACGCCATGCTACATTCCCGCGGTAGCGTCCTTAGCAAGTGCCACGGGCTCATGACGCTCCATGTAGACGGTCGCGGGCAACATGCCGCATCTGACGCCAGGTAGATGCTGACGACGTCGAACGCGGCTCATGGCATGACATAGACAACTGCACCAAGCTCGAGGACCTGAGCCTCGTTGGCGTCAACTTTGGCGAGCTGTACGTCGCGATTCCCATCCTATAGAGATGACTCATGTCAAGCTATCGACCAGGTTTTCGTCGCTGGCCTTTCTCGAGCAGACGCAGATGGACTTCAAGTCGTACTTGCAGCTGCCCAACGACGCCAAGATCATCTTTTCCATCACGGACGTCACCAACATGCCTGTACCTCTGCGGCCATCCACATGTCATCGCTCATGCGCGTGTTTAGATTGCGCGCAACACCAAGACGCAGGCCAGTGCGCAGCGCAGCTTCGAGTCGAGCAACGGCCGCAAGCAGATCACGGCCGACGAATACATGAAGGCCGTCAACACGTACGCGCCGTCGAGCTTCTTTGCGCTCGCCGACGAAGTCGACGCGACCTTTGGCTACAAGCGGCAGCAGACGGCAGTCGAGACCTCACTTACGTGGCTCGACGAGTGCCTGGCCGCCCGGCCGACTGGCACGCCGATCTTTGGCGTCCTCGTCGGCGGCAACGAGCCGCGTCTCCGCAACATTAGCGCCACGGAAACGTGCAAGCGTCCGATCGATGGCGTCGTCATTGCGGGCTTTGGCGGCGGCGAGACGGCAGCGTTCCGCGAAGAGACGTTGGTGCAGTACCAGACGCAGGTGCCTACGTCACTGCCGCGCATCCTCCTCAACGTCGGCCAGCCGCTCGAGGTGCTTGCCAGCGTCAGCCTTGGCGTTGACGCATTCTTGTCGTCGTACCCACTTCTGGTGACCAAATTCTCGTACGCGATGGTCTTTTGGATTGGTGACGCGTCGGTGCGACAACAGACAATCTGTCCACAAACTTATATGTTGACGATATTCATGTGTCTAGACGGAGGCGATGGAGACCACCAAGATCAACCTCCGGGACAAGCAATACGAGCGCGACGCCAAGCCGCTGCTCCCGGGCTGCACCTGCTTTGCGTGCGCGCGCCACTCGCGCGCCTACATCAACCATCTGCTCAACGTCCATGAGATGCTGGCCGATGTGCTCTTGTACATGCACAATCTGCACCACTACTACGCGTTCTTCCGCGCGATCCGCGACCAGATCGCGGCCGGCACGTTTGACGCGTACCGTGCGACGTTTACCGAGCGCTACATGCAGTAAAAGTTGTCCCTTCTAAGAGAGATGTATTGCATTGCTACTTGCGGCGCGACGGCTTGACGCTCTCGTCGCGACCTTCGGGCTCGGCCACGACCTTCTTCTTGGCCTTGACTCCGTGCGATGGCACCGCTTTGGCCTTGAGCGGCTCGTCGTCGTCGTTGTTGTTGGCAGTTTTCTTCTTGAGTAAAAAGTCCATCGAGATGCCGCGCCGACGGAGCGCGGCGTCGACGACCGAGAGCTTCTCTTCCAGGACGACGCACTCGTCCTTGAACTTGTTGGCTTGGGCTTCGCACGCATCGGCCGCGTCTTCGGCTTTGGCGCTCCACGCGAGCGCTTTTTCCTTCTCGACCTCGGCCGCCGCTTTTGCTCGCTCCGCTACGCGCCACTGTGAATACACGCTGCAACGTGCAGGGACGCCTACCGTCGCGGTGCAGCTCTGCGACGAGCCGCAGCTTGTCCTGAAGCGACTTGACTGTCTACAGGATGTGTCGTGATGTCGAGGATCTCATTGATGCACAGTCGCACCTGGAGCAAATCGACATTTTCTTCTTTCTCAATCTTCAGCTCGTCTTGGAGTCGGCGGAGGGCGTCCGCGCGCACTTGATCCCGCTCTTTCTCAATCTGCGACACCATCGTCGTTGCCTGTAGCTTGGCTTGCAGCTCCTGCGCGTGGGCGCTGGCCAGGTCGTCTCGCTGCTGCGCGAGTGCCTGCGCGTGTTGGGCGTGGAGCTCTTGGAGCGCTGCCGCGTGGGCACTCGTAATCTGTGCAACCCGTGCGTCGTGGTCGGCTACGATACTTGCGAGCCGGTCGCGCGCCTGCGTGAGCTGCTTCTTGAGCGCTAACGTCTGCGCATTGGCCGTCGTCGCGTCGTCGAGACGCTGCGCGAGCTGCGCGTTTTCCGAACTGAGCGCGGCCTTCTCGTCCTTCAGCTCCTTGATACTGCGTTGGTACTTTTTCTTGGTGTCGTCGGTCGAGAGCTTGAGTTGGCGCAGCTCAATACCCGCCTTCTTGGCCGAATCCGTGGCCTCATCCAATTGTTGTTGCTATCAAAGGGGTTTGCAGAACGGATCGGGAATCTACGAGGTCGTACCAGTGCCGATGTGGTCGTCGTCGTACGCTCCAGTGTTGTTTGGAGCTGTTGCACTTGGGTCTGGACCTCGTCGGCGGCCGCGTCCTTGTCTCGCAAAAGCTGCTTGCACTGCTCCAGCTCCTTCTCGCGCCGAGCGAGCTTCTTGAGCAAGTCGTCGGAGGGTTGCTTGACACTTTTCGGCGCGGGCTCGGCGGCACGAGCGCGATCCCTGGCACCGCGATGAGTCGCTGCATCTTGTATGCGATGAGTTACGTCAAGTCTTCTTTTTCCTTGCGCATGAGCATGAGCTCTTTCTTGAGCTAGTGGCATGGACGATCGGGCGAGTGCGATGGTGCAGAGGTGTACCTCGGTCGCTTCCTTCATCGCTCGCTTCATGGTCGTCTCGGCGGCCTTGCGCGCTTCGACCTCGGAGCGCACTCGGCACTTGACAAGTCGCTACGAAGATGCGTAGTAAGAACGTAGTTGACCGCTGACGATGCACCTCGACGTCATCGTCTTGGGTGGCTCGTGGCGTTGCCATCGCGATCGAAAATGACAAGCAAAAATAGAGCCAAGTGGCTGGCGCCGGCATTTGATTGGTGCAAAAATGAACCAATCCCGAAGGCCGAGCTATTTTATTCAAATTCGGATTGATAGATTAGTGTTTTGTATGAGAAAATAAAAAAATGTTATTTTCGGCATGCCACCCGAGATGGCGAAAGGTACCGTCCCCAGCGCAGTGGTTGCATGTCTTCTCGCTGGCGCTGCTACGCCACGAGGCCCATGGCCGTACGAGTCAGTAGGCAAGCGCTTGGACACAAGTCGGAGCGTGGACGGGCACGCCAACGCACACCGTCGTCGGCGTCTGCTTGCGCAATGGTGCGCTGTGACATGTGACGGTTTCGAACGCCGCCGAAAACAAGGCTTCAATGCGGCATCTGCCGAATGCGACTCGACCAGTAAGTTGCGTTCAATCTTGAAAGTGCGTCATGGCGTCCATGCTGCTCCGGCGAGCGCGCCCGCTTCTCGCCTCGGCGCGTCACTCGTTCTCGACGCAGCGCGTCACGCGGCTGTCGCAGGTCGTTGACAAGAAGTGGCAGGCCGTTGACAAGAAGTGGCAGGCGGCGTGGGAGGCCAAGCACGAGGCCAAGACGCTGGCGCCCGCGACGTCCGACAAGCCCAAGTTCTACTGCCTGTCCATGTTCCCATACCCGTCCGGTTCGCCGCCCATGGCCGACGCGTCGGCCTCATCTCGTGGTTGGTAGGGCAGCTGCACATGGGCCACGTGCGCGTGTACACGATCAGCGACACGATGGCGCGCCTCCGCCGCATGCAAGGCTATGATGTATGGCGAAGGCTCAGATGCTCGTTGCAGTGAATGATGATCTTGATCGCTAGGTGCTGCACCCGATGGGCTGGGATGCGTTTGGCCTTCCGGCCGAGAACGCGGCCATTGAGCGTGGCGTGTCACCGGCTGACTGGACGCTCTCCAACATCGCCGAGGCGAAGCGCCAGATGAAGAACCTCGGCATCATCTTTGATTGGAGCCAAGAGGTCACGACGTGCCAGACCGACTACTACAAGTGGACGCAATGGATCTTCCTCGAGTTTCTCAAAAAAGGCCTCGCCTACCGGAAGGAAGCGATGGTCAACTGGGACCCGATCGATCAAACCGTGCTTGCCAACGAACAGGTTTGGACACTTTGGTCACGTCACTCTCACGCTCCAAACCGGTAGGTCGACGCGCAAGGCCGGTCGTGGCGGTCGGGTGCGATCGTCGAGCAGCGTGCACTCTCGCAGTGGTTTCTCGGTATCACGCAGTACGGCGACGAGCTCTTGAACGGCATCGATACGGTACGACGTTCGCGAGTTCATGATGGTACCACAACTTGTCTTATGTGGCTGCTAGCTCACCGAGTGGCCGGACGCTGTCAAGCGCATGCAAGCGGCGTGGATCGGTCGTTCCGAAGGCGCCCAAGTCCACTTTGACGTACGTTGATATCGAGAACACGACGACCAACGATGCAACACAACCGTGTAGTTGCCGGTCCTCGGTGACAAGCAACTCACTGTCTTTACGACGCGTGTCGAGACGCTTCTGGGCGTGTCGTATGTGGCCGTGTGCCCCGAACACGACCTCATGGACGAGCTTCTGGCTCACGTTCCAACGTCGCAGCGCGCTGCCGTGGATGCTTTCATCGCACGTACCAAGGCGCTGACCAAGGTAGGTCCTCCTTCGCTGTACCTCTCCGACCCTCAAACGAACGCGTACCATAAGGACCAACGCAACAACGGTGACACGAGCTCGGGCGTCAACACGGGCTTGACTGTCGTGCACCCCATCACCAAGCAAGAGGTGCGGTCGTGTACCTACTACTTATGCAAATGCGCCTGCTTAGGTGCCCGTGTACTTGGCTGAGTACGTTCTCCCGGGTGTCGGGACCGGTGCCGTCATGGGTGTTCCCGCCCACGACGACCGTGACGCGGTCTTTGCTGGCCACCACGACCTTGCGTCGCCCCGCGTCTTGACGGACGACAACGTTCTCTGCGACAGCGGCGCCTTCTCGGGCTTGTCCGCTGACGCTGCCAAGATTGCCATCATTGCGCACCTCCAAGCGGGCGACCACGGTGACGCCCATGTCCAGTACCGCCTCCGCGACTGGCTCGTCTCTCGCCAGCGCTACTGGGGCGCGCCTGTCCCGGTCATTCACTGTCCGCGCTGCGGCCCGGTCGGTGTGCCCGCGGCGGACTTGCCGGTCGAGTTGCCGCCGCTGACCAACCCCGAGGAAGATCTGCGCGGGAAGGGCGGGTCGCCGCTCGCACGCATGGGGCACTGGAAGCACTGCAGTTGCCCGGCGTGCGGTGGTCCCGCCGAGCGCGATACGGACACGCTCGACACGTTCGTCGACAGTTCCTGGTACTTTCTCCGGTACGGCGACGCGACGAATGGTGACGCGCCGTTCACGCAGCCGAACCTGACCAAGTGGATGACGAACGGCGTCGACTTGTACATTGGCGGCATTGAGCACGCGATTCTGCACCTGCTCTACTCGCGCTTCGTGACCAAGTTCCTTGCCGACACACACAACGTGCCGACGTCCGAGCCGTTCAAGAAGCTGCTCGCGCAGGGCATGGTGCTGGGCCGGACGTACAAGAGCCCCGAGTCGCTCCGGTTCCTCAAGCCGCACGAAATCGCCGTCGACGACGACGGCACCGTGCGCGAAGCGGCGACCGGGAACGTCGTCGTCACGGCGTGGGAAAAAATGTCCAAGTCCAAGTACAACGGCGTGGACCCAGAGGACATTTACCGCCAGTATGGCGCCGACGTCGCGCGTCTCCTCGTGCTCTTCAAGGCACCGCCGGCGCACGAACTCGAGTGGGACGAAGCCGACTTGCTCGGCCAATCGCGCTGGCTCATGCGCATCTGGGGCCTTCTCTACGACCATCTCGACGCCCCCTCGACCACTTTCGATGCCAAGGACGAGAAGGAGCTGTCGCTGGCCGTGCACACGGCCATTCAAAAGGTCACCAACGCGCTCGAGGAGACGCAGTCGTTCAACGTTGCGATCGCCGAACTCATGAAGCTCTCCAACAAGATGGGTCAATTGAGCCATCTCGCTGGGTCGCCGGCCTATGCCCACGCTGTGCGCTCGCTCGTGACGATGCTGTCGCCCCTCGCGCCCCACAACGCGTCGGAGATGTACGCGACGCTGGACCCGGCATCCGCTGTGGACGTGCACGATCTGCCGTGGCCCGTCCACGACCCCAATGTACTCGCGAGCGCCGAGATGCACGTGGTGATCCAGATCCGCGGCAAGACCCGCGAGACGATGCAGGTGCCGGCCGACGCCGACGAGGCGACGCTCCGGGCGCTCGCCATGACGCTGCCCAGCGTGCAAAAGCACGTGGGGACAGCAGCAAGATCCGCAAGGTCATTTTTGTGCCCTCGCGCAAGCAAGGCCAGCACGCGCTCCTCAACTTTGTCGTTTAGGCTTGCGATGGGATACTAGTTGTTCAAAAGGCTATCCGTGGATACTTTTTTTACTATCCAATGACAGCGTCGTCACGTCGTGACGCTCTCGGGAGGGCCACAAATGTACCGGCCGCCACTCGAGTCGCTTCGTCGGCAGACCCAGCCTTGCCGCACTTCTTGCTCGGTCCCTAGAGGGCGATGCTGAAATTGGTAGGGGTAGGGGTAGGGGAGGGGAGGTACCGGTGCCGTAGGACGGCGACGTGTGCAAGTACCGGAGCGGCGTCGCCTCGTCTTCTTCAAAACTCTCTGGGTTCTCGTCGTCGTCAAACTCGACGAACTGTCCGTACTCGGGGAGGTACATGCCGAGGCTGCTCATCTTCTTTTGGAGCTGGCGCGTCTTGGCCTTGGGTGCGAGGTCCGTCTCAGACGCTAGCCGGACGCCAAGCACAACGCTGACGAGAAGCAGAAAGGCGGCAAAAACGACAAAGACGCACGGCAGTGGACTCTCGCACGTGTGGCCGTCCGGGCAGTAGGACGTGTGGCGCGCCGGCAGCACCTGCATGAGGCCGAGCGCGACAAAGGGGCCGAGGGCTTGGCCAAAGTACACAGCGCTCCCAAAGAGACCAATGAGGAGCTGGAGGCTGCCATTGCCACAGCGCGGCAGAGACGCGAGTGCGAGCGGCAAGACGGGCGCCAGCGAGAGCGACGCGCCGCACCCGATCAAGATGAGCGCGAGACCTTGAAGGCTCCACAGCGCCCACACCGACGGCGCGGCCGGAGCCAGCACGAACGACGGCAGCCCGAGGCTGGCAAAACCACAGCTGCTGACGACGAGCCCGGCCACGATTGCTGGCTTGCACCCGCACTGGGTGCTAAAGACGCTGTAGACCACGCCGCCGAGGTAGTAGACGAGCGCGCTGAGGCCAAAGCCGACGCTGATGGCCGTGTGCTGGGCGCCGAGCTCTTTCTGAAGGTGCGACCCGAGGTTCGGGTCGATGAGCCCAAAACCACACATGATGAGGGCCGTGACACCGAGGCAGCTCAGCGACGTGTGCGTGAGGACGTCGGCGTAGCCGACCTCGGGCTCGGCGTTGAGGCTCGTGGACGCCGCGCCCGCGAGACCATCGGGGAGCCCATACTCGAGGAAGAGCGACGGTAGCACCATGACACAGGCCAGCTGCGCAACGCCGGACGCCAGAAAGGGCACTTGGACGCCGCCGATGTCGTAGAGCGCGCTGCCGACCATGGGCGCGCTAATGAACGCGATCGCAATCACGAGCTCTGTGATGCTCACCGTGTGCCCGACGCGGCCACCAAAGCCGTCGGCGATCATCGCGACAGAGCCGACGATGGCCATGCCGGCGCCCCAGCCTTGCACGCTGCGCAGCGCAATGAGAAGGTAGACGTTGGTCGCATATGCAAAGGCAAGCGTCGCCATCGCGCTGCCAAAGAGGCCGAGGCAGAGCACGCTTTGGCGGCCAATCTTGCTGGCAGCGATCGACGCGAGGGGGCACGAGAGCATGATGCAGAGCGGGTAGATCGAGAAGAGCGCCGAGATCTCGAGCGGGGACGCGCCAAGTGTGTGCTTGGCGTACGCTGGGTAAAAGCCCACGAGGAGCGTCGTCAGTTGGTTGGCAACGAAGAGCACGGCTGCGCCGACGCACGTGACGATCGCGGCCTGCCACGACGGCCGGCGCAGCGGGTTCCACGGCTGCGAGACCTCCATGAGCGCGTCGTGGGCACACGCGTTCTCGCAGCAGGCGCAGTAGCCATAGTCGCTGCTCGTGCTGCGCTTGCGCTCGGCCGTGAGCGAGCTGGCCAGCATGATTGCTGCGGCGACCGAAAAGTGGGTGGGATTATCTGTGACACATCCGGTTGGGCCATCGGAAATCCGCCGCTTGTGATTGGTCGGCGAAGAAAGATCGCTGCGACATGGCGACCTTTGGGGCAAAGACGTGGCCGCTGCCGTCCCTGTGGCCGCTTGCAGTAGCCCAGCTACGCCCAGCGAGTAGTAGCCCATGCCTTGGGGTTGATAGGTCTTGGGCGAGGCGCTGGCCTCACGCGCCTGCGGTGGCTGGTTCCGGCGGCGCAAGCGGCGACTTGCTGGCATGTCCTTTCTCGGTGTCACCGCTTACGCTTCACCGCTGCGTCGCTGGACGACGCAGCCCGAGCTGGAGGAACGTGACGCATGCTGCTTGCCTTTGGTGCCGCCTATTGCGTTAGCCGCCATCGACAGACTCGCTGGGACGCGGACGAGGCGGACGACAAGGAGGATGATGATGACGCTAGCCCGTCGTTCGATCCGACGGGCGCAATAGATTATACGGTGCGGATTAGTCGAGTCGGCACCTGCTAGCAAGAATAGATAGGAAGCGCTCGCCCTAGTTGGGCCACGCGGTCGTGCTGGCGCCGTCGGACGTGCCTTCGCTGATGCGAAACATGGCGCGGTCGGAGATGGCAAAGAGCCACGCTGGGTCGTGGCAGCCGCTGTTGATGAACGGCGCGAGGTCGACGTGGTCGGTGGTGAAGTCCAAGTCGCTGCCGTCTTTGGCGCGCTGGACGCATTCGTGGCAGACGCGCAGCTCGAGAAGCGGGACATGGACGGCCGTCTCGGCGCGCTGGACGCTCGTGCACTCAAAGCAGTAGTACTCGTTGCAGAGCCGACAGACCGACTTGCGAAGACCAAAGAGCGCGTTGCAGCCCGCGCACGAGCGCGTGAGCTCGGGAATTTTGAGCCGGCGCGTCGTGAGTCGGCGCCCGAGGCGGCGGCGGAAGAGCAGCGACGGCATCCCGGTCAGCGACGCCGCCATGCGCTCCAAGTACATTTGTGTTTCCTTCTGCGCGTGCAAGCTGAAATGCGAGCCGTGGAATGTGATGCGGCAGACACCGTTCACCTCTTCAACGTAAAAGCCAAAGAGAAGGTGCTTGTGGCGCCGCATGACCTGCGTCTTCTTGTGGCCCTTGCGCTCGAGCGTCGGGTGGGACACGTTGTTGTCGACGCTCTTGAAGACGCGGACAAAGGACGTGTCGCTGAGCTGCTTGGCGTAGTCCAGCAGGAGCCACTCGGACTGCCGCTTCGTGAAGAGGCCCTGATGCGCAAACACGGATTGCTTGAGAGACGCGCAGCCGTCGAGACCCGCGCGCTCGAGCCGGGCGAGTGTGCTCATGGCCGCATCATGGTCGCTCAGGACGTCGCTCGCATCGTCGTCGTCGCTCGGCGTGGTCGGTGCACACCGGCGGACGTCGGTGGCGGCGACGAGGTCGGCACCGAAGACGCGCGCCATGAAGACGTTAAAGCCGTGGTGCGCGGTCGACGGGTCCATGTCGCCGGCGAGGAGTTCGATGACCTCGTCAACGCTGCTGTGCTCGACTTCGACAACTGCGTGGACCGTATAGAGGTGCGCAGCCTTGTCGTACTTGGCAACCACCGGGCGCGGACCGCTGTGGTGCACGTGTTTGGTGCTGCCGCAGAGGCGCAAGAAGCGGCGCGCGAGCAGGTCGCCGTGCGCGGTAAGGTCAGCGTCGCTGAGCGTGCGCACGTCGTGGGGGAAGCAAAAGACAGACGACGGCGGCGCCTGCTTGTGCAGCGAGAGCGTCGAGCGTGGCCCGAGCGACGACCGGCGCCAGCGGTCCAACCACTGCATCACGCTTCAAATCGGTAAATGGAGGAGCTTCGAATATACAGGTAACTCGATCTTGCGGCTGCCAGCTGGTCCATCGAGAGCCGGCGCGTGCAATGGCAATCTCGAACCGAACTGTCCACAGCACCCGGATCGTCCCACTCTGCATCGACGTGACTCACGCTGTCTGTGGTTGTGGCCGGCGAATCGAACTGATGGCCAGCAGGCACCGTCTCCAGCAGCAACCCCTGGTGTACCTACTGTCGAAGCTCTCACCGCCACCGCCCCCGACCCCGCGAGAGAAGGCGGTATCGGTTCCCGTAGACGTCGAGCCGCCACAGAGGCCATCGCGGCGGCCTGTCTGTGCCCGCATACGGTATGTACCTTGAAGGATGGTCGTGCTACTCTAGCGCGTACCTGGTACGAAGTCCTGGACTGGATCACGGTCAGTATCTCTCCTCGGCCCGGCCATCACCACTGTTGGCGAAAGGCCACGTGCGCAGAACGGGCCTGATCACGAGCCGAATCCGGTACTCGCTGAGATGCGGTGTAGCCGTGCGGCGGAGGTCGAGGCTTGTGGTGCGAACCAGACGAGCCAACGGTGCAACTGGCTGCATAGAGCCAACGTTGGTGCACAGACATGAAAGATCTCAAATTTTGAGCCACGACAATGGTGGCCGGTGTCCTAGATGGTGGTGGTGTCTTGATGTATGTCTTCTGCGTTTAGTCCTCTCGTTTATGAGCACATCTCCGGCTCGTCACGCCACCACCATCACCATGATAGGTGAAGACGCCAACTCGGTACAGTACAGAACGCTTCCTTTCAGCGCATAATGCCACGCAATCGATGACGCCTACGACGTGGCGTCGACGCTGGACGGCGATTTCTTCTTCTTCTTGGCGTTTTTGCGGTCGCCACGCTTGTCGCTCGCGTGTCGTTGCACCTCGAGCAGCGCGCCGGCTTTGATCGTTGACCGCTCGAGCGCCGGCTCCTCGGCCTCCTTCTCGTCCGACTCGTCACTCGACGCGTTCTTGGAAGCTCGTCATCAGTCGATCTATGGACGCGGATGTTGTAGCGCGGCTTCTCGGCGCGGAGACCGACGGGCGCCGCCACCGTTATCTTCTTTCGCGGGCCGGACGCCGTCGCGTCGTCGCCAATGAGGCTGCGAACACTCTGCTCGACCGCGTCGACGAGCATCGCAGTGTCCATGCCCTGATCGTTCTTGAGACCAAGCATGTGTGCAATGTGGAGCAGCCCCAAATGCAAGTTCTACGCATGCATCTTGAGCGCGTAGAAGAGCTTGGAGGCATACGACCTCAGACAGCGTCTTGAGCCGCTGGGCGCGCTGCTTCTTGCGCTGCGACAAGGCAGAGGCGTCGGAAAGCTGCTGCTCGAGCTGCTTGACGCTTGGTGCTTTCGGTGCGTCGTCCTTGCCCAACTTTGAACTGTTGACTGGCGTCGCGGTCGTTTGGCCGAGCTTTAAGCTTTGAAGCTCGAGACGGACAACCTCGAGCTCGTGCCGGCACGCTTGCACGCGTGCCTCGGCCTCCCTCTCTTCGACCGCCAGCTGCGCCGCATGCTCGTTCTACGACTTGGTCAACACGATTCGGACGGGGTCGCGCACCTGGTCGTGCCACCGAAGCAGCACTTGGTCGGCCTCGTTGACGCCGACGTGCCGAAGCATGCCGAGGATCCCATCGTCGCTAAAGTTGCCACCCTTGTAGAGCTTGAGGTCGGCGGCTTTCTGGACGCGAAGACAGCTGATGTCGTGCTTCAGCTCTTCCTTCTCCTTGATCTGGATGAGCATCTCGACCTCCTCCTCGGACGAGAGGTCGCCCTCCGCCTGCTTCTTCATCTCCTTTCCCGCGAGACGGAAGCGCGACTCCCATTCCATTTGGCGCTCAATCTGCAAGTGGCGCCAACGCAACCTACCGCCAGCCATGTTGCGCGAAACAATGCAGGATATATCGAAGGGGCGGATACCGTGACAGTGTGAGCTGGTGGATCTCAAGTTTTTCATGGATCGCGGCCGTGAGCTTGGGGATCTCGATCGACGCGAGGCGACTCTCGTACCCGATCACCTGTGCCTTTTGCTGGAGGTCGGTGATGTCCTGCTTCATCTTGCGCACGCTGCTCTCGGAGCCTTCAATGATCTACAACCATTGCTTTACGCGCGGAACGAGACGGCAACGGCTGTACGTTTGGGTCCCGCGCCGGGTTGGAATCGCACTGGCGCAGAATGGTCTTGTAGTAATCGCTCTTCTGGCGACCGTGCGTCGCCTCGAGAAGCGCCAGTCGGATGCTCTCGTCGAGCTGCTCGCGCAGCTGCGAGTTTTGATTTTGATGCGACGAGTTGGCTCTTGCATCCAAAAGTTTGGCCTCGAGCGTCGCAAGGATCTCGGCGCGCTCCTTGGAGAGAAACTTGAGCTTGTCGTGGCGGCTCCGGAGCTCGCGCAGTTGGTCCTACGAATACATGTTGTGGATGCTTTATCAATGCGCCAAGTGTACGCGCAGCGCTGGGACCGAGAGGTTGATGTTGGTGTTGCCGCTCGACTCGACAAATTCGAGTGCACCCGACTCGCCCGGATGGAGGTACTCAAGCGCCGCGATCGAGTTCTTCTTGGGCGAGTGGCGCGTAATGATGCGTTTGCGTTCGGCGACCACGCTCTTTGGAAAGACGGGACTGCTGCTGGCGTGCGGCGGCTTGAGACTCGGGACGCTGATTTGACGCTCGCGCTTGGTTGCACCGGACGGGTCGGGCGAGCCGCTTTCGGCCGCGCTGTCGGGGGCCAACGGCTCGAGCACGTGCTCGGCATGCGAGAATTTCTTGAGAAAGAGGTTCTCGAACGAGACCGCGATAAGCGGGAACTGCGTCCAGAGCCACCGGCGCACATAGTACCCGTCGTCGACCTCGTGTGGACAGAGGTAGTCGACGATCCCTTGGATCTGCTTGGACTCGACGTCGTTCAAGTGCGCGAGCGAGAACGTGCCTTGACTGTTGATAAACTCGCTGAGCTGCGGCGGGTCCGGTCGGTGCATGACGACCTTGATCTCGTCGGTCGCGTGCCACGTCCGTAGAAACTCGGTGATCTAAAATAAAGGTGTGTGTACTGCGGTTGAGCAACATGGACGTACGGTCAAGAAGAGGGAGAGGAGCTCTTCGGTGCTTGGGCCCTCAAACTCCATATAGTCGTCGAGCGAGTGAATGTAGTCGTCGACCGGATCGTGCATGCTAAAGTACGAGCGCAGCGTGCGCCAGTACGCGAGAAAGTCCTGTCGGTTGCGCTCGTGCCACCAGAGCTGAAACATTTTCATGTCCACGAGGCACGCCTGGAGCTGCGACCAGAGGTTGCAGCACTCGAGCTGCACCGGCAGCTCGTCAATGCGGCGCTGGCTCGCGGGCATTTTCTCAAAGTACGTCGCGATCGTCTTGTGGTACCCGTGCCGGAGGCTATCGTCGCGCAAGAAGCCATACCTACGCACACGAGTCGAGTGAGCATACATGCAAAGCGATGCCGTCAAGACCGGGCGAGCAGCCGGAGCTGGTTGTGGCTCAGGTCGTACAAGACCACGTCGCAGTCGGGTCGATGGATCGCCATGAGGTGCGGCAAGAGTAGCTGGAAGAGCACAATACGCACGGTGCGTGGCGCGGCGTCCTCGAGCAGGTGGTGAAAGTCCTTCTCCGAGAGCCCAAACCGGGCGACGGTGAAGAGCGAGAGCGCGTGGCGAGCCAAGAGAGCGCGGCGCTCGACGCACCCCCGGGCTTTCTCGATCTCGGCGTCGTCGACGGCGAAGGAGCCTTCGGACGCGCGCCGACTGGCTCGCTTGCGGCTCTCGGACGGCGCGAGCAGTACCTGGTTCTTGGCGCACACTGCGTCGTAGTTTTCCTGAACGTCCGCGAGCAAGACGGCGCGCCACTGCTGCAAGACAAACTACCATACATCATATTGACATAGACCAGTAGGTAGGTGAGCGCGTCGTACTTCATATAAGGTTGGAAAGTCGTAGATGCTGAGGACTTGACGGAGATACTCGGCCTTGGCCGGGCTCGATGCATACATGGTCAGGATGAACCGCAGATACAAGGGTGAGCTGCTCCCGCGGCCATCGAGAAGCGTTTGGATGGCGTCGTCGTCCATCGTCGCAGGGCTCTAGAAGAAGATGACGCTGCGAAAATGCTATTAGGACCCGTTTGATGTACCCGCTGCAAGTAGTCCTAAAGACAGAACGAACGTCCGAAGAGGTCAAGAGTACGTGAATGATCTTGAGACACATGCGCTCATCCAGTGGCTCGACGGTGACGAAGCCCGCCTTGCGGCGCCGAAGCTCTTTGATCGTGTGCGTGTCCGACACATCCGGTGCCAGCGTCGACTCAAAGATGAGGTCGTCGCTACGAAAGACAACATGTCCATTTTTTGAAAAGATACAAAGATGGCCGTACTCGCTGTCGTAGCTATACTCCTTGCGGACGATCCAGCGACAGCTCGCGAGCTGCGCGCTCTTGGCGGGCTTGGTCGCTGACATCAAGATGCGCACCCCTAGTCGTCGCAGCATCAGTTCTGCCTCCATACGTGCGATCCACCTGCGGGGAGGTTGTTGGGTAGCCACGAAAGGCTCTCGCCGCCGTCTTCGGTGCGCAGGTTGTCGACGCCGTCGAGGACGATAATGATGCTACGCGCGTCAAAGGCTCCGTGGACGAGATACGAGAATTGTACTTTTTCCGCTTGCCATTTTGGCTCGTCGCGCGGTGGCCCACCGCGCCTTCGAGGCACCGCGCCAGCGAAAACTTGAGTTTCTCTTCTTCGTGCTCGTTGGGCAGCTGCAAAGCGGTGAGGACGAAGGTTGGCGAGGATCGAAGCGTGTACCTCAAAGTCGCGCAGCGAGAACGCAGCCTTGAGGTGAAACATGAGGCGAAACAAAAACACCGAGAGCTAGAAGACAAAAATCGAGATTCCAGTCCGCATGAGATCTATGGGACCTTGACGCTTTCGTACGAGCAGCCGCAGTAGTGCTCGAAAATGAATTCAGGATTCGGCGGCGGCTTGCGCAGGCGCTGCTGGACCCAGTTGATGAGCAGCGACGACTTGCCGCTCGCGGGGTGGCCCGTCACGACCATGAGCGGCGACGACGGCTCCAACTCAAACCGGCAGTGACTGTCGAGGATCTGCATGTACTGGATCGTCTCGACGTAGCCAAAACCCTCCATGCGGCTACACGGTGTCGTGATGCATCGACCTCGCGAGCGGCGCGTACCTCTTGCCAAACGCTTCGTGGGCCGCGCTCTCGCGGAGGACGGTTGCCGACTCGGCTCGCTGGGCCTCGTCGCTCGAACGCAGCGCTTTGGGCAGCAAGATGACGCTCGGCTCTTTCTTGGGCTTCTTGACCGGCGACGACGCACTACTCATGAGGCTCATCGAGCTCATGCTCGCACTCAGCGGTGTTGGCGGCGTCATGTCGGTTATGAGTTTGCTAGTTACGTCTATAAAACCACCGCGGACCACGTCCTTTCTCGCGATTGATCGACGGCCACCACGACGCTCCACCTCTGCTCTATGGCATCGATCTCGCGCGTGCGGTGGGAGGTTGCTCGTCGGCTTTGTTCATATGCGAGACACCTCGATCAGGCAGGGCGTGCTCCCGGCTCTCGGATCGCACAGGCATCGCCACATTGCAGCTCTGCGGAAATGGACAAGTTGTCGCGGCACCCTACATGCATGTATACTATACGCATATCACTATCACTATTGCCGAGGCGGGTCACATTTGTCGCGAGCTCGCAGAGGCAGCGCTGTTTAAGTTCGTTGCAGAGCCCTGCGCTCTTCTTGATGACAACCGTGCGTTTGCCGTCGCCGACCGTGGTGGTGATGGGTGTCTTGGTCGCTGCACACACCTCGGCGAGCAGTTGCGCTCGGACAGCGTCGGGTTGTGTCGGGTATGTTTGAGCAATCAGAATCTGCAAGAGGTGGTAGTCCAGAAGCGCCTTGTGCTCGGCGGCGCGGTTGCGCAGATCGTAGTGGGCGCCGAGGCTAATGTAGAGGTACCCGGCGGTAACGAGCGCCGCAAAGACCGCCATGACGATGGTCTCGGCATCAAAACAGCCGTCGCCAGAGCAAAAGCTCGGGAAGAGCGCATTCTCGACCGCCGTCAGCGTCAGAAACACAAAGCTCAGCGTCGTGTGCATATCCAGCGTCGTCATGTACGGGATCTGCGGGATCGCGCCGGCGACGACAAACTTGTAGGCGACCGCCGTCAATAGCAGCGTCAGCGAGATCGAGAGGCGGTCCGAGGTCGCCAGGCGGGTGCGAGGCACCTCGATCGCAAACGAGAGAAACCCAAGGTACGTGAGCAGCCCCATGGGGAGCAAAATGTTGGTGATATAGTAGCCGGGCTTCCGCTGTAGCACGATCGACGTGCTGCAGTGGTCGTAAATATGCCCGGACGACGACTCGACCGCATCGCTTTGGTCGACCATCGCAATCACGTGCTCGGCGCTCACGACATCAAACACATTTCCAAGTTGAAAGTTGTTGCGAAGAAAGAGGCTCGGGAAGTGCTCGTTGGCCCGCAGCCGGACGAACGTGCCCGGCAGGTTGACAGTCCAAACCACATGCAGTTGCTGTGTGTCGAACGGGAAGCTCTGCAGCTCGAGCTGCTCGGAAAACGACCCGCGCAGACGCAGTTTATAGCAGTAGTCGGCATACCCTGGAATCATCGACCGGATGCTGAAGCTCGACCAGATCTCGCGGTTGCCGTCTTGCGAGACGACGTTGAGGCAGTCGATGGTTTTCTCCGAGAGGCCGACGGCGGACGCGACCTCGGCGACCCACGCCTCGTCGACGGTCGGTGTCGCGATGGCGCGCAGGCGCAGCTCAAAGTACACGTCGGCGTCGAACGTTTGGCCCACCGTGTCGATGCGGTATACGTTGAAGATCGTTGTCCGACAGTGCAGTAGGAGCGGTGGCAGTAGCATGGCACTGCAGGCGCTGTCATGGCTTTTCGGGCGCAGCGTCGGGTTCCCGTCGAGTCGCGTGTGCACAATCTCCCACGGGTAGAGCGACGCGAGATCGACGTCTTCGTCGTCGATGGGTCGAATTGACCGACACCGGATCGACGTGCCATTGTCGGAGACGGTCAGGATCTTCCAGAGCCCGCCGGGACCGCCAGCGAGTGCGAGGAGCCGGCTCGAGGCCGCCAGGTCTGCGTCTGCGACGGCGGTGGCGACGACAACGTCGAGCCGCCGATCAAGGAGCGTATACGAGACAACCGTGCTTCGCCACCGACTGGGTTGTCGGCTCGCATCCGCCGATGCGTCCGTCGGTAGGACACGCGTTGTCATGGTCAAGTCAACCGTCGTCTCAATTCGGTTACGGCGGATCCCAAGCCGGACACGACATTACATACCACAACTGCATTCTTCAGCTGACAACCTCGTCTACAGCTTGCGTCGTATACTAGTCTGTTGACACTGGTCTACATGACCGCCCAAGCACTCTGATTTCTGTGTCTCGACCATTGCGCACCAGGTCAAAGATTGCGCGGAAGGGGACCGGTAGAGTATATGCCTGAGCGAGGGCGCACAGAAAGGCCAGCCTACTACACTGTACGTGGTGTAGAGTAGGAGGACGGTGCCAACGCCGGCTCGGTTGCGACGCCTGGGCGTTGCTGGCGCCAATATGGTCAGCGCAACTTGGTGCGTTGGCGGAGTTGGCTGCTTGCAGACGATGAGCTCGCCAGCTGGGTGTCCATGGTGCCAGCGTCAGCACGCGCCACGATTTCAAGACAAGGTCCGCGATAAAAATGCATGGTGTCACATTGCACTTTTTCAAAAGTGCAACCTCAAATGGCATGTTTTTTACGGATCTTCATTGCTGAGCTGAGCCAGTGTTGCAAACACGCAGCACCCGCCTGCACGCAGCAGACCAGTTCCGTTTGTACCACGTCGTAGCGCCATGACCTGCGCGCGCAGCCTGCTCCTACTGCTGCTGCTGCTCTCGGTCGTCCTCGCGCAGGAGACGACGGGCGAAGTCCCGTCGCCTGCGTCCACTGATACCCCGGCCCCGACGCCCGCAATGATCACGGACGCGCCGGCGACAACAGCGCCGCCGCCGACGACTGCGCCAGAGATACCAACGCCCGCACCGTCACCGTCGCCAAAGCCCACGACGACTGACGCACCAGCGCCTACAGCCAACCCAACGTGGACACCGGCGCCGCCGACGCAAGCGCCCGTGACCAACCCGCCGCCCAATCCCGGCAACAATCGTGTCGTTACGCCGCCGCCTGCTGTGACGGCACCGCCCACGGCAGTCATTTCGCCGTCGACCGGGTCGAGCTCGACCACCGCCATGGCCGCCACGACGACCTCGCCACCCAAAGAGAAGATTGCCAGTGGCCCTCCCAACAACAGCACAACCTCCACCGAGACTGCGTCGGGATCCAACATGGACGTCGTCGTCGGTGTTCTTGGCGGTATCATTGGCGCCGGCGTCCTCGCCCTCGGCATCGTCTGCGTCCTTCGCCGGCGGCAGCGTAAAGACGTGCCGGCGCGGGACTCGACATTTTGGCCCATTTCGCCGCCGCCGGCGATGCTCGAGGCGAGCCCGCGCAAGCCGTCGACGTTCTTCCGGAAACACCAGTCGGCGCTCGCGTCGCTCGATGGCTCTCGCTCGACCGCCATCTCGGACGACATTCTCGACTCGTTTGCGCCCAACCGCCGGTCGTCCGCGCTCTTCTTACGCGACGATTTCGGTCGGTCCAAGTCGGTGCAGATCGACGTCGCCGAGTCGGTCCGGCCGTCCAACATTCTCGTCGGCAGCGTGCATATCGACGACGACGACTTTGATGGCGACGTCGACGCGCTCCGCGGACACCACCAGTCGTACACGCTCTAGTCTATTTAACCACCCGTTTGTTTCGCATGCCGTCCACGTACTACATAGTCAAGTCGCAAGAGGAGGTTGGCGTCGTCGTAATAATAATAGGTCGGTGGTGACATTCGGTCCCGAATGTTCTACGTCGTCGTCGGCTTAGAGCTCCTCGAAGCGGTCGCAGTCCTTGGCGAAGCGCTCTTCGCTCATACGCTCCCGCTCCATGCGGGACATGCGGCGCGGCATGTAGTTTTCCGCGTCTGTCGAGCCGTGCCAGCTCGCGCGCATCGCCGACAGGAGGCTTTCTTGGATCGCGATCGACTTGCGCATCTCTTCAAAGACATCTGGCGCTTCCTTCGTCGGTGTCTCGGCCTCGAGCGCCGACATTTGGCTCGGTGTCAAGAGCACGAGTGGCGGCTGCTCTTCCTTTGAGAGCCGAAAGTCGCGCTCGTCCTTCACCACAGTGCTCGACCGCCGCACCGTGGTGTGGTTGAGATTCATGCCAAAGTATGACGTCTCGCTCGGGCGATTGGTCTTGGAGAAGCTCGAGTGTGTCGACGGCGCCGCGTCATTAAACTGCCACGACGGTACATCGACCGGCGTTGTCGCAGCCGTGCTTGCAATTTGATTCGGGTCGTCTGTGGTTTTCTGTTAGGTGTAGGGTTTCGAGAAGGGGTAGGTGTGCATACCGGTGCATGGCGCACGCGATCGCACGCACGTGAGGCAGAAATCATCGACGTAATTGGTCATCGTTGTCTTGTGCATCGTGGCGCTCGTGGCCGGCGCGTCCTGGATCGCATACGTAATCCGGAGATAGCACTTGGTGCACATGGTCTAAACAAGAGCATAAGTGAGGTCGAGTCGTAGCATCGCGGCGTCGTACAAGGCCACACAGCCGACACGAGAGCTTGGTACTAAAGAGGGAAAACTTCTTGACGCAGACGACACACGTTTTTTCGTGCTATCAAAAACGTATCAGACAGAGTCTTTGTCGCAAAACGTGAACGTACTGCTCGACAATGCGCTTATACGACGCCCGCGTGATCGGATGCGACTGCGCGAGCGACGCCGACGGCCGCAGCTGCGTGGCCGAGAGGAGGCTGCGAATGTGCGCGAGCGACGCGACTTTTCGGTGAATGCGCCAAAAGCAGAGCGACGACTGGTCGCCGAGGTACTTGGGCACGTTGCCTTTCATGTCGTGGTATGACTTGACGACGACGTGGATCTTGCCGTTCTGCGCCGGTCGAAACAGCATGGTGTCCATGATTGTGGCGCGGTACACATCCGTCTCGGCGCTCGGGAGGTAGTTGTCGATCGAGTAGACGACCTTGCAGAGCGTGTCGATGCCATGGTTGTCGGGTAGCACCGTGAGATACTAATAACCGAGATGAAGGGCGTACAAATCGCAAAAATGGGATCGTACTTCAAGGTACAGCGTGTCGCGCGCGTGCACGCCGAGCTTGGTACCAGGCAGCGTAAACTTGAGGTACTTGACGCCGAAAAAGTCCACGTCCGTGGTCGCGTCCGACGGGAGAAAGTCGTCGCCGCTGTGGCTGCCGCCAGAGTAATTTTGCACGACGTGCGACGTGACATAGTCCTTCTCGAGCAAGTACGACTGCATGATCTGGTCGTCGAGCGTCGTCGGCGCGTTGAGCGCCATGCGCAGCTCGTCGAAGCTTGTCGCGAGGTACCCCACGCTCAGGAACGTGTACAGCGACGGGTTGGCCTTCCCAGCGCCGAGGCGCGCGCGAAACACTTGCATGTTGCGCTTGTTCACGGTGAGCTTCCAACCGGACCGATCGTCGCGGGCCTCGTCGACCCAGAGATCCGAGTTTTGCACCGCGTCGCGCGCAATGTCCTCGACGAGCTGGCGGTGCTGAGCGCGCTGCGAGAGCGCATCATAGGCAGGCATCGTCGGCTCAAATCGTAATGGCAAAGTCGACTGTGGCGCTTGGGACCGTGACACGCATTACACCCTCCAAGCGGCGCCGAATCTGGTGCAGCTGGCGCGACGTTTTTTGAAAAAGACGCGCGTTTGCACTTGGGCGTGTATAGGTTGAAAGCGTTTTTTGGGGTTAAACAGCAGGGTAAACGCACCAGAGGACCGATGCTAGCAGGCTGGGACAATCGGCAGGCTGTCGTTGTTACTGCAACAAGACGCCTGCTGTACATGCAGATGATGCAACGGATGCCGTGTGTAGAGCCTGCACGCGATTGCAGCCGTACGCTGCAAGAAGATCGCCGGGATGCGGGATCGGTGACCAGGTGCAGGGAAATCGATGCGCGTACACCGATTACACGGTGTTGAAATGGCGAGCCAACGCGTACATTACTGTTGACTGACTATGGCGCTGTGTGCAATGCCGTCGCCAGAATTACTTCGGCGCAATGCAAGTCCACGGCAGTCACGACTTTGCACTTGCGTGGTCGACCGATGACTTCAACCCGATGCGTTTTTTCGCCACGTCGCCGCCCCATCCTCCTCGAAGCACCGCCCAGAACGACATCGAACGGACGTCATTGTTCCCCAACGATGATGACTCCACGACTTGGTGCTCGGTGCTCGAGCTGCTGCTAACGTTCATGCTGTTTCAATCGAATGCCGTCGCTCGTCGTACGGATATCGGATACAAGCACTGATAGCCATTTGCCATCATCGTCGCTTGAAGCTTTCGCCACGCAAAACCACAAGAAGCAAAAGAGAGGAAGACGTCAAACGTGCGTCAAAGTGACGCTTTAATATATGTACAACTTGGGTTAATTTAGCAACGGACGGGCAGATCGGGAGCGCTTTAGTTGGCAGGCGTGCTGCGGTTCGTGTGCGTAATGCAAAAGCCGCCGCGGCGCGCCGCGTGGTTGCAGCTCTCGACAGCGCAGCGCTTGCCGCCGCCGTGCGTGTAGCAGATGCCTTTGCCTTGGGCGATCTTGGTGCAGCCGTCGACCGAGCACTTGCGGCCGCCGCCGTGGGCGACGCAGAGCCCGCTCTTGTGGGCGCACTTTTGGCAGCCGTCAACCTTGCAAAGGTGGCGGCCGCCGTGCTCCTTGCAGACGCCCTTGCGTTTCGCGATGCGCGTGCAGCCGTCTTCGCGGCAGCGGGTGCCACCGCCATGGAACTTGCAGTAGCCGCCGCTTTGCGCGATCGTATGACAGTTGGCTTCTTGGCAACGCTTGCCGCCGCCGTGACCAATGCAGTAGCCACCCGCGAGCGCGTACTTTTCGCAGGCCTCGTGCTTGCAGCGGCGGTTAACGTGCTTGGCCTTCTCGGACGCAGTTGGCGATTGCGCCCGCGAGAGAGTTCTCGGTGTCATAATCTCGCGGACGTGTTGGAGGCAGAGCTGCGAGATTTTCGCAAAGCGCGTGCAGCCGAGGCGGGCACAGCGCTCGCCCGCAAACGACTTGCACGTGGGCTCGAGCGGGTTCAAGAACGGGTTAAGCTTCGGACTCCAGACGGGACTGGATGTGTCGAGGAAGCGCTGGAAGCTGGGCAGCATGCGCGGGCTCAGAAGCTTGGTCGGCGTCAAGGACGGGCGCAGAAGTGACCGGGGCGCGTGCGTGGGTGTCTCCATAGCTGTTTGTGTGTTTTGGTGTCGAGTGCGCAAAATGAGGAATGCGTAGCTGGTAATATATATCGTCGTTGCAGCGTGTTCGGCGCACCGTATCTTCCCGCCGCTGCCCGTGCTTCTGCCAGCTTGTGCAGGCGACGCGGTGGTGGCGAATGTTGCCAGCTGGCTTTTCGACACATGCGGCACACAGCGTCGACATTGGTCGAGTTGGTGCGGGATGAGTCCGAGACAGCTGCTTTGAGGCGGACCTCTCGCGGTCTCGATCTACTGTTCCGTCTTTCACACCGCGCCGAGGAGTAGCCGCGACCAGCTCGAGTGCGTCGGACACCAAAAATGCTTTGAGCGCTACAGGACGGAGCGGCGTCGTATCGCAGGCAAGTCCGCCCCATGTCCTCCTCGGCTCTTCTCACATTGCACAACGCTTGTTACTGCAAATCGGCTGGATGCGTGCCACCCGCGAATGTTCTATGGAACGGCGTGCGCGCCGTCGACCGACTCTGTTCTGCAGTACTATAAACAACTCACGCGTTCCGAGTGCATGCAGAGTCGAGCCATACACGGCGCCCACGTGGTTTTCGCTCCAATGCAAGATCTTGCGTGGAAAAGCACTGTTTCGGCTATTATGCACTGGATGCGGTCGCACGCACTGGATGCTCCAGAGTCCCACACTGCAAATAATTCAGTCTGCGAACGACGACATATCGCAGTGGAGACGGCGACTCTCGTAGTGCCCGCGACACACGGGGCACAGGTGCACTTCGTAGATGTTGAACGATTCGAACGCGACCAAGCACTCGGCGTGCAAGACGTGCGAGCAGCTCAAGAGCGTCACGGCCTTGGCACTAGACAGCGTCTGTTGATTCGTCCACTGGTTCCAAAACACTGGAAAGATGGACACGTATGTACCTCATGGCGTTGAGGCAGATGGGACACTCGGCCTCGTTGCGCGCCGTGGCCTACACGTTCGATCGAATGCAAGATTTTTTAGACATACGAGCGACTACCTTGGCAAGCGCCGTGGTCCACTGGCTTGCCACTTTGCCGTTGGCTGTCTCTTGGTTGGTCTCGCCGCTGAAGATGGCGCGACTCCGGCTCATGCTCTCGTCAAACTCGGCGAGGAGGGCATCGATCGAGTCGGCACGCGCCTTCATCGCGCGCACAATACGACTGCTGATGGCCGAGACCCTGATCGGTTCACGTTTATTAAGACCACACAGAAATTCCTTCCAATGTCGACGCACTTGGAGGCATAAAACAGAGACCGCCGGCGTGGGTCGCCATTTCCCTGCTTGTAATACTACAACAATCCAGCAGATAGGCTTCCACGCGCAATCTCCAAAAGCGTACGTGGGCGAGGAGCGACGGGTAGCGTCTTCGCGCCAGCCAGCCGCGGATCCGGGCCTGTGCGTCACAAAGATGTGAGAGTGTCTTGGGTGACGCGTCGTCGCACCTGAAGCCGACGCGCGCAGACGCTGCGATACTGCGATTCGCCGGTTCGTGTGGCTTTTTTTCGTAATTTTGCTTACGGCAGAGCGGACAGACGCGGTCGGTGGTGCGCAAGAAGCGCTCAAAGCTCGTGAGGCAAGCTTGGTGGAACACGTGCGAGCAGCTCAAGAGGACCTTGGGCGACACGCCAAACGGCTCGCGACAGATCGAACACGGGTACACCGCGTCGCCGCGCGCTTCGGCTTGCTGCTCGACGTCCTCCCACTGGTTGTTGTTGAGCCGCGGCGGGGGGCCCGGCATCTATAGCGCGATCATGCGCGTCTCGACATGGCTGCGAGAAGACGCACGTACGAGGCCTTTCTTTTGTGCGAGCGTGAGCCGCGGCCGCCGCGCCACGGGCTTGAACGCGCGGCAGGCCGTACAGCGTGCCACGTCATCGTGGTTCTCCAGCGTGCACTCGTCACAGACCCACACACGCCGGTACTCGGACGACGGATCGCAGACACTCGCAGTTGCTTTCACAACCGTATTGGCTGCGGTGGACGTGGCCGGCGATGGCTTTGGGCGTCGAAGACGCGGCGGCGGCAACCGCAAGTCCAAGCTCCGCATGAGATGGTCCTAAACTGCGTGAGGATATGCTCAAGATAGTCATATGTCCATCGGAGGTACTTGAAGCGCGGCGGCATTCGTTAGCGTGGTCGTCGCTGCGCCTATCGCATGCAATGGCGTTGAGTGCACCCTAACCCAACGTGGCAGCACCTGTCGCGCGTCGCTTGGCCGGGTCGCGCTTCATCGCTTGCCCAAGCGGTTATATTTGCGACGGTTGTGCGATAATTTCTTCATTTTCCATCTTTCAACCACCACCATGACATCCCACTTGGTAGACCACCGACATGGGAGTAGGTCCATGATAACATCATGTGCATATGTACGGTGCAGCGTGTGGCCGACGCGAACGACGTCCTGGACCGGCTCCGCCTCCAGTTCCACGCCAAGGGGACCCAGCAGCTCTCGGACCTCGACGCCTACTGTGCCCGCATGGACACGGCCGGCGCCGGCACCCTCACGCGCAAAGGTTGGTACCTAGAATGCACTCGCGTCCTCGCTGCACCGAGCTTTGTCGTAGAGCTCGAAACGTGCCTCAACTACTTTGGTTTGTTCCCGACCACTCAAGACGTCGGCGCGCTGGTCCGTAGCTTTGGAAGCACTGTCGGGTCGAGTTCGAGCATCCAGTGGCGTCCATTTGTCGACGCGCTGGGCGTACGATAGCATGAACGAAGAACCATTTTCGTGAGAATCATGACGGTCGCATTCGCACTAGGGTGAGTTGTCGACACTGCGCGAAGAGGCAGTGCGTCACGCCTTTGCTGCGGTGCCGAGTGGCTCGGTCGCCGACGTCGCGGCCGCCGGGCACTTTGACGACCACCCGCTCGCCGCGCGCGGCGTGCTGCGCGGCGACGACCTCCGCCACGCCTTTGCCGTCGGGCTCTCAAAAGCCACGCACGGTGGCGATGCGGTACGGAGATCCTTCTTCCCCGTCATGGATCGCGCCATCTGTTTGAAGGTGATATACAAGTGTACGGTCTCAACTCTGTGGCTAGAACAACAATGTGGTGACGTGGCCGGCGTTCCGGACGTACTACGCCTCGGTGAGCCTCGCGTTCGCAGGCGACGACGAGTTTGTCGCGATGCTGCGCGGCGTGTGGCGCCCACGCGCGCTGCACGTGGCGCCGGCTAGAGGCATCTTTGGCAACAAGCGCAGCGTGCTGCTTGAGAAGCTCGGCCAGCGCACGCACAAGTAGGTCGCATCGACGGCTCTACTATAGTCCATTGTTGTGCCGGATGCAAGTCACGAATTTATATGGCGTAGGGAAGAGAACGAGCGCGATGTTTTGATGCGCGCGCTGCGCAAGCACGACGCGAGCGAGTCGGGCTTCGTGGCGCCGCACGAGCTGCAGAGAGCCTGTGAAGTGCTTGGTGTCGTCGTGACGATGGACGAAGTGCACGGTAGCGTGCGATTTGGCGCAGGAACAGAATGGGCGATGAACCGGATATGTAGACACCTTTGCGGTCGGGACGCGGGACGCCCGCGGCAAGCTCTCGGTCGCCTGGTTTGCCGACTTTATCTGCGCCGACAGCATTGCGTAAGCGTTCGAAGGTGCACCTAAGAGAAGCCTTTCCATTCAGACCACCACGTTTTCGCTGTAAAAGCCAAGAGCTCGAATCGATTCGCGCCTTCGAAAATGAACTCGGGTTCGATCCGGCGCAGTACGGAGTGTGGTTTGTACCACCGACTCTGCATCATCCAGCGCTCGTTGCTGCCGACTCTCTTTCCGGAGGAAAAGCAGATGCGGCGCCCCGAAATGATATGTACGGACTCGTCCGACGTGGCGCGTTGCAGTTGACGGGTGGCGTTCAGCAACATGAACCTTCCGCTCTGTCTTACTGTACCGTGGTCAACCAGAAGCAGCGGAGCTCAACATACACGTCTCATCCTTACTCCAACGTGGCCCCCGCCTACACAAAGGCGCCCCAGACAAGAAGCACAACCTAGACGCTAGGTACCGTGCGTAAGGGTTTTACCACTAGCCCAAGTTGATCGTCCCGCGGATCGCGCTCCTGCCTCCGCCTGCCTAAATCAAGTTCCTCAACCGAGTGTACAGAACGAAGAAAGTCCGACAATTTTATTTTACGTAGTTTATCTGATGTAATAGACGACCCACTTGAACAACAACTGGCCCAGGTTGACCACGTCCCCATAGTCTGCAGCGTGAAACTTACCCTTCGACCACTATCCCTTCTTGGCGATATAACGAGGTTGCGTCGACGGCTCGGGGGGCGAAGGAGGGACACGTCCCGCGGTTATTCTAGTCGTTTCGACCTGGCGGCTTTTGCGTGGGACATCCAAGCGGCGCGGTACATCTTGCTTTTTATATAGTATACAAATATCTAGGTAATGAGCCGTTTCGTCCCTTGAGAAAAGGTTGCCCACATACAAGAATGCATATCGTGCAATTCCGCATATGCGAAAGAAAAAGGGACCCGTGGCTTCAACTTGCGAAGATCGCGGAGCTGGCTCATTTTCGAAGCCGCGGACGAGCAGTCGGCCGCTAGAACGCAAGCAAGCGAGTAGGACCTACTCGACTGCTTTGGGACGTGAGCCAGCCCTCTTCATGCCTGGCTGGGACCGCGAACTGGACGCTACGCTCTGGAAGGCTGTACGCCCCATGTACTGCATACTGCGGGCTGCTCATGGTCCTCGTCTCTGTAGCGCCGTTGGACCGCAATCGACTGGGCATATCTGACCCACATTAGCAGCACCGAATTCACAGTCCAGCCCGTCTTTGACACGTTCGACTAAGCGCTCGACCCGCCATCATGATGCACTTTCTCTCGCGCCTCACGTCGCCGCTGGCATGCGTCGCGACGAGACGCTTTCCCACCGCAGCGTTGCAAGCGGCGCCGCCACGCCGCGTCGCCACGCCGCCCATACCGTTGGCCGACATTGCCTACACGCAAGCGACGGACGAAACACTCAACTTGTCGTGGACCGACGGCCACCACAGGTACCCATGGCGGCCATGTAGCGCTGCATCTCATGTGCCACATTATAGCTCGTTCCATTACGTGTGGCTGCGCGACAACTGCCACTGCCCGCGCTGCCGCCATCCCGTCGCGGAAGAGCGCCTCCACGACACGCTCGCGATCCCCATGGACATTCAACCCGCGCGCATCCAGGCGCTGCCAGCGTCCGATGTGGGCGAGGCTATGGTGCGAATCGCATGGGACGATGGCCACGTCTCGCAGTATCCCGTGTCGTTCCTCTTTGACAATTGCTATGCACGGCAGACGACGACGTCGTCCTCGTTCTCGTCGGCGCCGACCTTGTGGACGGCCGCCGACATGGCGCGCGGCCTGCCACGCTTGCCGTACGAGCACGTCATCGGGTCGGACCGCGGTCTTCTCGAGTGGCTCGAAGCGTTGGATGCGTACGGGTTTGCGCTTCTCGAGGGCGTGCCATGTGGCGACGACGACGCCGCGCGCTCGATGGCCGAGCGCATTGGCCTCGTGCGCAACACGTTCTGGGGCCCAACGTGGAGCGTCAAGAGTGAGCCCAAGCCCATGAACCTGAGCATGACGAGCGAGGCGTTGCACCCGCACACGGACTTTGGCTGGTCCGAGGCGCCGCCGGGGCTCCAGTTTTTGCACTGCGTCGCCTTTCAATCCAAGGATGCGATCGGTGGCGAATCGACGCTCGCGGACGGCTACGCGATCGCTGCCCAGCTGCAGTCGTCGCACCCCGAGGCCTACCACCTCCTCTCAACGGTCGCCATTGACCACTCCTTCTCGAGTGCGTCGCAGTGGTTTGAGCACAAGGCGCCGATTCTGTCGCTCGACCCAACGACGGGCAGCGTGCGCGAGGTGCGCTTTAACCAAGCCAACCGGTCGCCGCTGCGGCTTCCACCGGACCTCGTCCGTCCGTACTATGACGCGATGCGGCTCTGGACCGCGGCGACGCGCGATCCGACGCATTTGCTGCGCTTTCGGCTCTCGGAAGGCGACATGCTCGTCTTCAACAACCGCCGACTGCTGCACGGCCGGACAGGCTACAACGCGCAGGCCACGTGGCGCCACCTCAAAGGCTGCTACCTCGACGCCGAAGACTACAAAAGCAAGCTCACGATGCTGCGCGGGCGGCGCAACTACTCGACCGAGCGCTACGTGCGCCCGCCGCCGCCGTCGCACTTGGATCCTGGCTACGACGCCTTCTCGCCGTCGTTTGTGTCGGCGGCATTGACCAACGTCCAGGACGTGATCGATGCAGGGACCACCTACGACGACGGCAGTAGCTTGCAGAAGGTCGCAGAGGCCGGTGCCGCGTCGTTTCGAACACTGCACGACGGCAAGAAGGCCGACTATGTCTACCAGTGCTCGCTGTACGACCACGACATTCAGGTATGCGACCGCGATATCTGAAGAGGTGGCTGATACTGTCATTCGACTAGGTTAACTTGGTGCCGCGACTGCTGGGGATGCTCCAGAAGCTCGAAGGCGACCACATTCGTCTTGGCACGGGCACCCAGGTGGACCTGCTCGAGCACAGCCTCCAGTGCGCAACGTTGGCACACGACGACGGCGCGGACGAAGAGCTCGTGGTGTGCGCGCTCCTGCACGACATTGGCGAGCTCCTCTCGCCTTGCAACCACGGCGAAATCGCCGGCGCGATCCTTCGCCCGTACATCAGCCCCGAGCGGTACTGGATGCTTGCCCACCACGAGATCTTCCAGGTACGACCTCTTTCCAGTGGAAAGTATGCGACATGGATGGGGGTAGGGGTACTACTATTTTCATCACGTGGGCGGCGACC